ACAAATCAATCCAGAGTTCTCACTCAAGGCACAAATGACCAGGCTCAAATTATCCTACTTTTTTTAATTAAAAAGTTTATTGAGATATATAAAAAGTACAGTTAAAATACAAATCAAAAACTATAGAAAAGAAAGAAGATAGAACTAAAAGAAAAAAAGAAGACCTGAAAGACCACGTTAGGGACAGATCGTCATGGAGTACATCTATCTATGTGGTTGCTACAAGTCAACAAGTTGATAGCTCATCATCATCATCGTCTCATGGGGAAAATATGTATCCATAAAATCAGTGCTTAATGTGCCATTGTGGGCCTAAACTTTTTTATTAGTCTGCAGAAAGACCTGGAAGATAAATCCGATTAGGTTTTATTTGTCATGGCAAGTGTTCCTAGAATAAATTTAGAGAAATGACAAGACATATTATTTAAATAAAAGTTCGTTAAATCTTAGAGTCAAAGTAACAAAAGTTAAATGTAAGGTGATGATAAAACTAAATGTTTTCCTTTTTTTTTTTGGCCTTATTGCAATGCAAGGCAATGAATGCTTCAGTATTTTCTTTTGGTTAATTTTATGATCAAACATCTTTTGTCTGCTTTCCTGTTCTAGAGAAAGGTATCAGATCTATTTACCTTTTCCTTAATGGAGAAAGATAACTGGGGTGAGAAATGCAAGCAACTTAAAAGGAAGAGATGTCCAATGAAAAATGAATAGTGTTGTCCCCAGGAGCAATGAGATGTTGTGTGTTTAGTACAAAACAAGAACAAAACATGGGGGGAGGGGGGACAAAAATTGACCCGCTTGAGCTTCTTATAATATTCTGAGGAAGCCAGAACTGAATATTTGAATAAATACACATCTGTTATGGTCAATGTACTACAAGATTTTGGTTCCACTTGTTCCTTTCTATAAATTCAGATGAGAAAATGCTATTAAGGAAGGGGGCTAAAGCAGGGTAACTATAAAAAACAAGAACATCCCAAGAACATCTGCCTGCCCCACACACTCCCACAGAGAGAGCATCCTTTAAAATCTTTTCACCTTATAGGACCTAGAAGCTTGCTTTTTCTGTGGCTACTTCTGTTCTCTGGAACAAACTGTTTCCCCCTTCCTCCCCCCCAACCCCAACTCTACTTGCCTTTTAGGAATGCTGTTAAGCCATTCCTAAAACCAGCCTGGCTTCCCCCCAGGCATTTCGGGGCAGTTGAGTGGAGTCCCCTTTTGGCTATTCTTATTATGGTGCTTAGTTGCCAATTTTATATATTTATATTTTATATAAATATATTCATATTTATGTATTGTGTGTGGTTTTTTGTGATGTTATTCTTTTTCAGTTTATAGGAGTTGGGCAGCCTTATAAATCTAGTAAACAAATAAAAATAAAATAGGCACTCATATTCTCAGCTGACTGTTGAAGCTTACAGAAACCCAAATTACTTTATAAAAGTGCCAACATTAGTGCAATAATTAAAATCCTGAGTTTAAATCGGAAATCTCTATTTCATGTCCATCTTCAATCAAGGACTCTTTCTTGGTGATTTCAGGACAATTATTTGTTTTACTCACAGTTTAACTCACAGGCTTGTGGTGGGGAAAATTGGAGGAGGAAATGCTATGTTTGCCACTTCGCGTTTCCAGAATAAAGGCTTGATGGAATGCACAAAGTTCCAGAAGAACTGAGAATGGTTTTTGGTCTCAGTAATAATAAAGGTTGAGGGACAGAAAATGACAATTAGAATGGAGGAAAAGAATTAACTGGTCTTCTTGGGCCTTTTTGCGTTTATGGAATCTGCTGGAGGATGTGATGATAAACTGCAGGACAAGACTCCAGTGTAATTTATTATTGGAATGACAAAGATTCACACCATACAAAGTCTGTTTTTTTGTTCTGTGACGTCATGAAAGATGCATGCTGATCATTGATTTTTATACCACATGTTTTATTCTATACTTTAATGATGAAGCAGCATCATAGTTACTTTTGATGGCTGATGTGTTGACATTATTCCTTACCTAACGTTGCTTTCTATCCTTTTCTGTCCTATTCTTTGTCCCACTGGTAGACAGATGAAGAAGATGACATTGAGGTATGATTCTGGAAAAGAGCATGTTCTGTTCAAATCTTCTGTATGCTGTGAGATCTACTGATAACAGTTCAGTAGGAATGCTTTATTACCATGCTTTGTGGCTGGAATCCTTGTATCTGCAATTCTGTATTTTCTTAACTAGGAGTAAGTCCTTTTGAACTTAATGAGACTTATTTCTAAGTAGGAATGCATAGGATTCCTATTTGGATTGCACTAATAGACTACAGTGTGTTTAATGTCTGATATGGGTCTTTTTCTTTCAACATGGTGACTGTAATTGGTTATATGAAAAAGCATGGCAAGCCTAAGCATTATAGGAGATTTGCCACAAAGATTGCTAATCCTAACATTTCAAATTATTATAATTGCATTAGTTATAGAAATTGTGGCCGTAATCAAATACAGGCAGTCCTCATTTACCCACTGCAATCCGCTCTGGCGACATGCTCACTAAGCAACATGATTGCTAAGTAAACCATGTGACTGAGAGATGCTGCAAAAATCACTGGTTGCTGCCGTCTCATTTAGATACAATTCTCTCATGCAGCAATGCCAGCGTTACCCTCATTCCAGCGTGCTTTGTTGTCAGGCATCAAAATTAGGGTGCAAGTGCACTCATTGGTCCAAAAATGATTTACTAACATTTATTGCCATTGTATTTGTGAATGGTCACTAACTGAGGTAGTTGCTAAATGAGCACTGGCTGTATTACTGGAACAGAAAAGATTGCTATGGCAATTCTACAAGGTGAATTGAAGTGGAAAAAACAGGTGATACCAAATATCAATGATCTTTTTCCCTATTCATATTATCTTCATGACGGGGGTGGGGGTGGGGGGGACATCCAGTAAGGAATAGAACAAAAATAAGCAACTTTATACAGTCTAACCACAAACACAAGAAGTAAAGGAGTGCAAAAATGTATTCTACTGCAGATTGCTAACACTGTCAGGGAATTCACACTAGAAGTTGCACATATTATCTTTGCATTATATTTAGTGCTCTATCCTTGCTTTCTTTCACTTAGCTTCTGCTGGATGTAGGTAATTCTGCTGGATCTCTGCATCATATGGAAATGCATCATTTAATCATTTCCACTTTAATAAGGCAATAGAAGTGCCTTCAGATGACCTTGCCCATTGTAGCTCTGCATGAATCATTTTTCTGGCCTTGTGTGCTGCCAGTTAAGGGTCAGGAAAATGAGGTAGGCTTTTCCAAAGACGAGCAATTCTTAATTTCATACTCTGTAGAAAAGCTTTAATACACAGTGCAATATGAAAACTTGCCTTTGTACTTAATGAATGTTTTCTAACATTGCTATGTAACACAGTACTGATATTTTTAAAAAAACAGCTAACTACACTTATTGCCCATAAAATGTTAATTTAAATGTGATATTGGGAAGATCTTTTGAAGATCTTTATAAACAGTTGGACAAAAGTTAGCTTTTTTCTTTAGACATATTTCAAGTTAGCAATTATCTCTCCATATCTCACAGTGATTTTTTAAATTAGCAGTTAATATTGCAAATAACCTCTGAATAATGTTTATATTAAGAATTTGCTTGGATCACTACATTCTTTCAAAAGTGAAGATGGTTTTATTTTTTTAGAAAAAAATTTTTGCCTGCCTTAATACCATCAAAAATAATTAAAATATATTTAAAGTAATCACCAATATTTATTAGATATATATTCTGATTTTCTTTTATAGTTTGAATACAATTCTAAGGTATTTTCCCATTCGGATCA